GTCTGGGTGCCACGCCAGTGGGAACGCCGGCTCAAGTAGCGGATGAGATGGAGCGCTGGGTGAGAGAAGCCGATGTCGACGGATTCAACCTGGTGAGTTACCTACAGACCATCAATCACACTGAGGTTGACAAGAGCCAAGGCCTACGCTATCAAACCAGGATCTTTCAAGGACATTATCGACCTGTTGATTCCCGAACTACGTAGACGGGGACTGTTCTGGGAGGACTATGCGGTCGAGAGGGGAACGTATCGGGAGAATCTGTATAGCAAGCCGGGGCAGACAGGTCCTCCGGAGGATCATCCTGCGGCCAAGTACCGCTGGCATGCAGGAGTAGACGCTGCAGATCTTACGATTCCCGAGAACTAGTGCAAGGGACGTCCATTTCGATGGTTCCGGGAAATATTCCCAGCAGGACAGTCGTTTGCATCTACACTTTTATCTTTAGTAGGGAGGTCCAATATCTTTACGTGAACCAACTTGAAAACTCGGACGAATGATTGTTGTATAACTCCATTGAATGGCTGGATGCAAAAATGAGCTTTTAACTCCTCTGAAGCTCGACGAAACATGAACAACAGCATGGCAACGGTTTCCTCGAGACTCGGTCGATGCTACGCATATCCTTTGGCAGACTCGTGTTCTAGAAGCCTGTAAGCGCAATAAGTTTTGTGTCGATTATCATTATTGTCGACTAATGAGGTTGCGTTAGTATCCGAGATATCCTGCAAGATATTGGCATCTTCCAATGGCTGTAGAGAAGGGCAGCACGGGAAAGCGTTCTATCATCTAGCGTCCACAATTCTTCGTGTTCCTGGCCGTTAACTTGGGTCTAGTCGTCTTGGCACACATTTGGCGTCGAATCATTTGGAGGTTGATTCATGCTTGACGATTCTTGTTGTTGACATTGGCTGCTTGGCCCACGCCTTGAGCAGGAAACCATTCGTGCTAAGCAATTGTGTCTTTTCTATGTCATATTCGAGAGTCATAGCTCCATTCGAGCACAACAACACAAACTTGATTAAAACCTTGGCATATTTCCCCGCCTGCAGACAAGAGTTAAGACCATGTAGGCTCAGATCTCTAGAACCTCGTGCCTCTGCAGATTCATCTTATTGGAGTCGGCTACAGCATCTACGGATGTGTCGACCGGTTGAGATCTGGTTTCTCAACATCGAGCCAAGGCAGTATCTCCAACTATGCTGTCCATCCGCTTGGACCTCGTTTAAACAAGAGAGGATACAACTCAATGCGTGTCCCCAGAGCACGTGGGACAAGACTGAAGGGCAGGGATGATGGCGACGAAACGAGGACTGGTATATAATGGCCTTCCTCAACCGTTCGACAGGATGTTTCATGAAAAGCGGTATCTTCTGACCAGCCTTCTCTGCTTCGACTCCCTGCAGAATGCATCCCAGTGCTCTTCTTGGTCTACTGGCCTTTGCGGCCGCCGCCTCGGCCATTCCTGTACAGCCAGCCAGTGCGCACTCGTCACCGTCCATCCAGAATCTCAAGTCCAAGATCAAGAATGTGGTTATCCTGGTGATGGAGAACCGCTCCTTTGACAACCTCTTGGGTGGTCAGACGCTCAAGGGCATTGAGAACCCCGTCAACACCGGCCCCTACTGCAACCCCTACAACCTCACCGACCCCAGCCAGGGCGTTGCCTGTTCTGCCGCCAAGGACTTTGACTCCATCACCAATGACCCCGACCACGCCATCTATGGCAACAACATCGAGTTCTATGGCACCTTCAACCCGGACAACACTCTGATCGCCGAGGGCAAGCTGGTTGCCCACAACCAAGGTTTTGTCCATGAGCAGGTCCGCAAGTATGGCGCCAAGGTGAACAAGACCACTCTTGCCGCTCAGGTCATGAACTACTACACCGAGGAGCAGGTTCCAGTTCTGACCTCCCTGGTGCAAAACTACCTGACCTTCAACCACTGGCACTCGGATATTCCCGGCGTAAGTACATCATGCCCTAATCCCTTGGAACGATGGGTCTGACTACCGCAGAACACCGACCCCAACCGTGCCGCTCTGGTTTCCGGTACCTCCCTCGGCCACGGTCTGAACGACGCTGCGTTTAGCAAGCATCAGTTCCCCCAGCGGTCCATCTTCCAGCAGTTGACCGAGACCGGTCACTCGTGGATCAACTACGTCGACCCTGCCGGCGGTACTGGCCCCGATGCGGGCTACTTTAACTGGACCTATGCCACCAACAACCAGGACAAGATCCAGCCCCTGGCCCAGTTCTACACCGACGCTGCGGCCGGTGCCCTGCCTGAATTGGCGTACCTCAACCCTTCTTGCTGCGGAGTCGGCACCACCTCCATGCATCCCGCTGGCTTGATCTCCGACGGTGAGGCTTTCATCAAAAAGGTGTACGATGCGTTGCGCGCCGGTCCCCAGTGGGAGCAGACTCTCTTCATCCTGACCTTTGACGAGAGCGGTGGCTTCCACGACCACGTCCCCGCTCCTCTCGCTCCTCGGCCGGATAACCTGACCTTCACCCTCAGCACTCCCAGTGGCGTGGACTATACCTTCCCCTTTGACCGTCTGGGTGGTCGCATCCCGACTCTGTTGATTTCCCCCTGGGTTGCCAAGGCACAGGTCGAGCAGAAGGGTACAAATGCTCACGGCGAGACTGTCTCGTACTCGGCTGCCTCCATTCTGCGGACTCTGGGCTACCTCTGGGACTTTCAGCCCTTCACCCCTCGGGTCGAGCATGCGGCGTCATTTGAGCACTTGATCCGTCACAATGCTCGGAAGAACACCCCCTCTGCTCTTCCTTCTGCAGTCCCTTTCCGAAAGTAGAATGCTGTAGGCTGGATTAGGCATGGGATACGTATGATCGAATTGTATGACAGACAATAGCATAGCTATTTGCCGAGAAATGTATACGCATCTTTCTATTTCTTGAATTTTCATTTGCAATTTCTCTCTCCGACTTCGGCGATTAGTCAGACTTCCCCGGCATTTCTTTCCCCACAAACATTCTTCAATTTCCGCTTAGGTGACCACTTTTGAGACATCTCCAATTTGGACGCGTTCTGTGGCTGAGATTCCCGACTGCAATTGGTTCTAACTTCTGCCAGCAAGAAAGCTTTCTGCTATGTTCAGGGAGAGTCAAAATGTCGACTCCTGTTAATTTCACTACTTTATACCCTCACATTGCCAACAATATGTCTCCAACGAAAACGCGATACTCGAGTCCATAGCGTCTCAACGCATCATGTCATATAACAAGCATTACACAGGTAATCAGATCACGGCTAGTCCCGGCTCGTACTCTCCCAGTAAGACAGCCGGGGAAGCCGAGATAGGTGTTGTTTCTCCTTCGACTGGTCCAGCATGGTACTGTCAGCCTCATCTAGTCTACCTGAACTACATCATTATCTCCCTGGTTCTCTTCTCTTCGGCCAATGGGTACGACGGATCTCTCATGAATGGTCTGCAAGCCTTGGATCAGTGGAACCTCTTCATGGACTATCCGACCGGCGCCAAACTGGGATGGATCAATGCGATCGGCCTGCTAGGCTCGGGGGTAGCGTCCCCTATTGCTGCCTGGGTCTCGAACCGGTTCGGACGCAAGCCCGGAATCTACGGGGGTTATATCTTTTTGATACTCGGCTCAGTATTGCAGACCGCCTCTCCGAACGCGACAGCCTTCTTGCTGGCCCGTCTATCCGTCGGCGTGGCATCTGCTCTATTCGGAAACGCGGCTCCCCTCCTCATCAACGAAATAGCGCATCCCAGTCACCGGGGCATCGTAAACTCGCTGTTTATGACCGGATGGTATGTGGGGGGTAGTGTCTCTGGATGGGTTATATTTGCGGTCCGTACCTATTCCTCGTCGTGGTCCTGGCGCCTTCCATCCCTTCTACAGGCTCTTCTGCCGGTCGTTGCCTTGCCGGGCCTCCTTCTTGCCCCAGAGAGTCCTCGATGGCTCATATCACAAGGACGCGAGGATGAGGCGTACGCCATTCTGACGCGGTATCATGCAGCCGGCCGTCGCTCGTCCTTGGTCGATGCCGAATTCCAGGAGATCCGCGCGACGATTCGAGCCGAGCAAGACGCTCACAGGGGCGCGAATTACGCAGAGATGTTCAATACGCCGGGAAATCGTCATCGACTGATCATCTCCCTCAGTCTGGGTTTCTTTGCTCAATGGGTGGGCAATGGTGTCATCTCATACTATCTAGCTCTGATCCTCGATACGGTCGGGGTGACCAGCGTCAGGGATCAGACGCTCATATCGGCCTGCCTGCAGATGTGGAATCTCCTGTTTGCCATCATAGGCTCGCTGCTGATTGACCGATTCGGGCGACGTTCACTGTTCCTTGCATCCGCCACGATCATGCTCGCCAGTTACGTCCTCGTCACGGCGCTGTCGGGTTCTTTCGCAGTGACTCGTCATGCGGCCACGGGGGGCGCGGTCATACCATTCCTCTTCATCTTTTTTGCTGGTTATGGTATTGCTCTGTAAGTTTCCCTCTGATGTATTCTCCTCACCTGCTAATTCGATCCTAGAACTCCACTGCTCACGGCGTATCCGTGCGAAATTTGGCCTTTTCCTCTTCGGTCCCGGGGTCTGGCCGTGACGTGGATGTCCACTGTCTGTGCCTCGTTCTTCAATATTTTCGTCAATCCAATCGCCCTGGAGGCTATTGCATGGGAGTATTACTTGGTCTTTGTCGCGGTCCTGCTGCTGTTCCGTGTCACCGCGTATTTTCTGTACCCGGAAACCAAGGGCTACACGCTGGAACAAATAGCCGTTATCTTCGATGGACCGACAATCCCAGGGGAAGATGTCGAAACAGAACCGAAATCAGTTGATACCGCTGAGGATCCGAAGAATGCCACATCCACAATACACCGAGAGACTATCTAGTTAGTTTACGGTCATGAATATTTGACATTCTGTTCGCATTGAATATACCAATGAAGAATAACAACAATAATAAGCAAGCCTATAACAAACCGAACATCAGTGCTCACGCCATAGCCCCCCGAATCTGGAGCAGATGTTCAACAATGACATCGAAATCCTGGTGAACGCTATACGCGTCTTTATCGCGATACTCGACATAGCAGAAATAGTCCTCTTCGTCCAGTCTGTAGAAACGAACCAGAGGACCAATTGCAATGGCTGCAAAAAGACTTGCGCGAGGCTTTCCCTCAAAGACACTCGAAGCCTCGAGTAGATCGAGCTGAACCGCGTCTTCCAAGACCTTCCACATATCCGTGTCGGGGTCAGCAAATCCGATGCAATAGACCTTGAAGAGTGGGACAGTTCCAAACCGACCACTCAGATTAGTAACGGCGATCTGGGGGAATCTATCTTGGTCGTCMTCGTTCTTCACTGTGAAAGACTTACCGCCAGTCGATACAGGGGGGAAGATGGGTTTGAGGATCAGATTCCATATCTCCCGGACGTGGTCCTGGCTTGACTGCGGGCATAAATAGGACATTTGCTCCCATGCTCTCACGGTGTACCAATCCTGGAATTTGTTAGCATGTCTCCGATCTTGCGGTGCCCCGAATGGACTTACCATTGTCATGTTAAGCTTGTCGTGGATCAAAGTATGGATTATGGCAGTTGAGAAGATGAACGGAGTTGGGTTTTCAGTCGACATGGTGGTGTATTTATACACCTTCTCAGGGCAGTTATACGACTTGACGAGAGTATTCAAGACACTGAAAGTCTAGACAATAAAAGTAGTGTGAAGAGTATTGTTCGATTCCCGTTAGTAGTTTTCTTTCGTGACTGAAGGTCATTGTTTCGAGTAGGGCATGTAGCAAAAGAAGACAAAGAGGAGCGCGACATAACATAAGACAATATAATATTTTGAACAAGACAATGTTTCAGACGTTTAAGAGGTCTTGCTAATTTAGTTGCTGCCACTTCTTTCAAGGCCCTGTCTTTCAATACCGAGTCGACAGAATCTACCACATCGGATGAATACTAGGAATATAAAACTTGCTACTTTAGAAACCAATATAAAATTCAATATCAAACCTAACTCCAGAACTGTTGCCACTACGTCGTACAGTCGAGATCATGCTCACAATCAAGAATAATAATAAAGGCAATGAAGCAGTAAACAAGACTAAAGGCTTTCACGGCGACATCCTTCAACAGATTTCCTACTTGATACAAACTGCCGAGACACCCCAGGGAACAAAGCACACCGGATCGATTTTGGCACGAATCTTCAACAACCCTTCAAGAATGGCATCATAATCGTGGTGGATATTCCATGCACCCTCCTCGTCATCAAAGCCAAAATCCCAGAATTCGCCCTTTTTGTTCACCCCGCAGAAGCGTACCAACGGCCCTGCGACAATGGCCGCATAGAGATTCGGCTTGCACTCCTTGATGAGTGACACGATTCCAACCAGCTCGAATTTCACCGCGTCTTCCAAAGCTCGCCAATGAGTCATAGAACCTGGTAAGATGCTTTCCCCTGCGGCGGCTGGTAGAGACTGGCAGTAGACATGGAATACGGGCAGGTATGAATGCTCACCTCGAGGATTGACAATGCCGACGTGCGGAAAGTCGCTGTCGTAGTCGAAGTACTTGTGAACGAATCCTCCACTGGGGCAATCAGCGCTTTGCTTGGGAAAGTGGTATTCGAGAATTTGTTTCCAGACGTCACGAACCTCGTCCTTGGGAGACCCCAGCCTAAGACCGGAGATCTTCTTCTGGAGCTTTTCGCTGTAGTCCTCCTGATACATGTTAGCAAATTTCACGGTCTCAATTGGGCAAACTTACCATATTTAATGCTATAACAGGGCAATGAGATAGTGATAGAGCTGGGTGAGGTGAGAAGTGAAGGACGTGAAAAGCAATACTCATAGCGACAAGTCAGAGATATATATAGCCCTACACCAGAGGGAGAGACGGTGCTTTCCGCCTAACAGCTTCGGCAAATACGGAATGTCTAAGACATTTAGAAAGTCTAGAATGGGAACCATTATTCTTTGAAGTCCGAATGGCAATTACAACATTGTCTATCCTGGCACATAGATGCGCAACATTCGCCAAACCTACAGGCAAATATCGTGAGACTATACCAGACAGATCTGATCGTATCATACCAGCGGCATGCAGATATATATGGTGATCAGCAGCCAGCTTCCTAGCACGGCCGTCACTTTAATTGACATAATTCTGCAACAACAGTCAACCCTCATTTCTAGGCTCTACGCATACTCCCATTGTAAAGATTGTGTTCTTTCTGTTCTGGGGCATAGTGGTCATGATTACAGAAGTAGTCTCCCAGAGCAAACAAAGACGATAACAAGTGACGGTTACAATGATAGATTATAAAAGTGGTATACGATGTGGTCAAGGCTAGCGAGATCTAACAACCCAGGAAATGGTAATTCTAAGAAGAAAAGTACCTCTATCTCCAACCGAACTGTATCCGCCAGAGCAGTTCTATCCATTGATGGACAGTCCACCTCCACACTTAGAAAATCTTGAAAAATCTCTTCTCGGTATAGAGCCACCTCGATAGTAGAACAATCGCCGACCCAGCGAGGCACATGAAGCCGCCAAATATCTTCACGTCCAGCCAGCCGTTGGCCGAATTCTGCAGAATGGCTCCCCCGATGGGCGCCATGGTGAGGGCGGGGATCGAGGCAGCGAGGAAGACTACGCCCAGCCGGTAGCCCATCTCCGGCGGGGGGGACACCGAGATGGGAAGGGCGCCGGAAAGCCCGATAAAGGCTCCTGACGCAAAGCCGAACATGATGGCAAATCCGACAACGATGGACAAGTGCTTGGCGGGGATCCAGACAGCGAACTCAGAGATTCCAGAAACAGTACAGGCGATAATAAACATGTTCCATCTACCAATTCGATCTGCACCGTAACCGGCACCCAGACGGCCGAAGAGACTTAGATAACTGTCAGCTTCTCACGACATTTTACCAGGGCTGGGGGTGTCAACCTTGCGGCATTAAAGATGGATACCAAGTATTGCGCCATCTCCTCCAACATGTGTGCCTCCTGAAAACCCTGCACAGCCAGATAGTCGAGAGGGATGAATATGCCAAAGGTTAGGACCAAGACGCCCAGCAGCAACAGGACAAACGGGAACTCTGTGAAGGGTGCAGCGAAACGGCCGGTGGGCATCCTCTTAGGCACAGGCTTGGTTCTCGGGCGGACAGTCAGGATTGCAATAATCTGCAGGCCAAGGATGAGGAAGGCTGCCGTCCTCATGGCCCAGGGGTACCCGATGCTTTGGATCATTCAAGTGATCATAATAGGGAAGATGACACCGCCGACTGATGAGCCTGTCACCATAATGCCCATCGCTGCTCCGCGCTTCTTGGAAAACCAGGTTGAGACGCAGGCAAGCGCTTCTTGCCAGTCAGCATGGAACACTTCTCGATGGAGGAGGCCAAAACTTGCCAGGCGAGTATAAACATGCAACGCCGACGGCACTGCACACACCCTGGGACAAGATGAACTGATAGTACGTCTTGGCCAGCGACGCCATCATCAGCCCAAAGACGTGAAGAAGCGTCCCGCCAATGATGAGCGGCCTCGGTCCGTAGTTGTCGAATATTATGCCAACGACAGGCCCTAGGGCGAACATGAAGAACAGCTGGAGCGACGGAATCCACCCAATGGTGCTGCTGGAGTAGGATTTCAAAGGCCCGGTCTCGTAATACTGCTGGAAGCTGCCCACACCTTTGAAAGAGCATTGCTGTTAGTCCCTCGTCGGTCTAGGAATGCACCGAGAAGAGAAAAATGCGTACTGTTGATCCAGCCCGGGTGGCGAAGGAGCAGCACCACGCTCCCAGGACGACCAGCCATGCAGCGACGCCACCATCAGGAGGGCCATCATCTTCCATTTTTGTGGCATGACTGGCATCGCCTGGCTTGTCATCAGGAATTGGCTCTCTGACGTCTTCGGGGTCGGTTTTCAGGTCATGCATGGGAGTGGTGTTCTCGGCGTTTTCCGTGCTAGCCATGGTAAATACAATTGCAAAATGGAAGCAAGCAATTGAGCAAGTGAAATAAATATTAGATTCTTGCAACTCTGGGAACCGATTCTTATACATACACATCCAGAAGGCGGCGGACATTTTGGCGGACTTGCGGAGGGTCAAGTTACCCATGATTGGTGCTTTGTAGCGGACGATATCCTTAGACTAGATATGGTTTATGCCGAAGGAGGATCTCTCTCTCTCTCTCTCTCTCTTGCTGTCCTTTTCATCGTCCGCAGGATGGATCCAGTCATCCTCCGCCCTCATCCAGGCCGCCGACGCGACAAGCGGCAGCTTTCTTGCAATTCATGCCGCCAGCGAAAGTGCGTTTCCCAATCTCCCCAATAGATAGACCTGACACGGTGAGAAGGCGAAAGTGTGACCGCCAAAAGCCTTGTTCTTATTGCATTGTAAGTCGCACCTCTATGGAATGATAAAGGATGGTGCAGCTTATAACATCATACAATGTCGATCAGAAACAGAACCTCGAGCAGACGTGTACATACGTCGACTCGCCGGCGCCGTCTTCTAGACAACTGCACCTCGAAGATAGTAGCGCATCTATCAGCGGACTAGGCGGGTTGGCGACGCCGAGCAGCTCGGCTTCCGTTCCATCGCCAGAGGCTGCAGATCTGAAATTAACCAAGTCTGGAACTGGCTTTAAAGATTCGACCCACTGGACGTCCGTTCTGAGCGGCGTGACAGTGGCAAAGGAAGGCGCCATCCCATCGGAGACAGCATTCGACGATGGTTCATCACCACTTGAGCAGAATGTCCTCCTCTTCGAGGGGTGCAAACACCCCACTGACCAAGAACTCCTCGATGCGATGCCGCCCAGGAGAGAATCCGACGGCTTGGTCGCACTCTACATTCGGGCTCAGGAATACCGATGTAGGTGTGCAAAGAACGTGAGATACACATGGCTGCTGACGCTGGCTCTAAACAGCTGTACTACACCCGACCGAGTTCTTGAACAGAGTAAGTCCTCACATGTACCACTAGTAGAAGTCTAACCACCAACTCGTCGATCAAGCATAACGCATTTCGGGAAAATCCCAGCGCTACATCTGTCTCCTGGCTTGGCCTCTTGTACAGCATCTACTGCCTCACCAGCCAAGTTTAGTGCCTCTCGAGGACCCAGGCCAACGCGTCGTCCCTCTGGTCACCTACAGCCTTGTATAAGATACTGGGCTACCGAGAAAAGGTCGTCCAGTGCCTCGTCCGAGCTCAGTTCGCCAAGGGAGGTCCTGACATTATGGAAACCCTGGTCCACTACCTCTTGATTGAGAGCTACTTGAACAGAGACTCCAACGTTGAAGTCTGGCTCCTGATGGGCAACATTGTCCAAATAGGTACGTATTCATGCTCGTCTGTCAGTTTTGCACGTGTTCTCCAATGATTGCTGCTAAACAGCTTCGACAGCCATCCGCATGGGCTACCATCGAGATCCGCAGCACTTCAAGTCCCTATCTCCCTACCAGGGCGAGATGAGGCGCCGGATGTGGGCTGTGATCTACTCGCTCGACATCGGATTCTCCACGCAGAATGGGCCTCCCGAGCAGCATCAAACACTCGCTCAGCGACACGATGCCGCCTCGAAACCTTCAGGACCGCGACTTTGACGCCAGCTCGGCTGACCTGCCGCCCGCGAGGCCGATCGACGAACTTACCTCGAGCACCGTGATCCTCGCCAAGCTTCACGTCGCCACCAGCGTCGGCGCCGTATCTGACTTGGTCTGCAGTCCTCACCCGCTATCATACGAGGACCTCGTCGCGGCGAATGCAAAACTAGACTTGACGCGTGCGACCATTTCCGGTCCTTGCAAGTTCCGACCCATGTCTGAATCTCTGTTGGGCCCTCCAAGCGTCGTCTTTCAGGTCAGTGCGTGGATTACCTCAGACCACACTCAGATCAAATTATCTACACTACTGAACCCCTAACTATATACACAGCCCAATGAGAGTGACGGAGCTGCTAACATGCCCTTCCTCAACAGCGGATAAACTTTTACATGCATTACCAAAGAGCCCGGATCCTCATCAACTGGAAGTTTCTCGGTACCTCGAAGGATACGTCAGCCAGCAATCAGTGTTGGGGTATTGTCATCGAGGCGGCCTTGGAGATCCTGCGACTGCAGCACCGCATGTCGGAGGAATCCGATGTCTTGGAGGGGTCCCGCCCTACTGGTTTGGTCGACCCGTGCTTCGTAAACAATGGGTACTTTTTAGCCGCAAGTATCATGTGCTTTCTCGTGCAGCATCACCAGGACAAGCTGTCGGCCCAAGATCTGTCAGAAGTGCGAAGCCTGCTCGAAAAGGGCCTAGCCATCTGGAGCCACATCAACGACTTGTCAAGAGAAGCAAGCAAAGTAGTCTCCACTCTAAGGGTCGTACTCGGAAGATCTGAGGAGCCCAGTACACATTCTACAACCGAAGCAACGGCATCGCCTCAAGCGGGCGCGGGTGAGATGGCGTTTTCTAGTTACACCTCTTTCTTTGATGACCTGCCTTTGATGATGAGCGACGTCGACCCTGCCGCGTTTCCCACACTGCCCTCGATTCCCATGATAGACAACTGGCCACAGGTAGACAGGGGCATTTAGCTCCGCCCAACCCGAAGGCTTGGAGTTCTTCGATGATAAAGACCTTGTGAGCGGTGGCTACAAGTTGAGCAGCATTTGGGGGCGTAATTATTCGAATGCAGATGTCATCAGCGCTAAGCATCATTCCAAAGCTTTTCATAGAATCATCGCAGGCATCATCATTTGTGAGATTATTAATTGAGTATCATGAAACAAAGGGTAAAGGGGCGGAGATTCAGGGGCCGCGATAATCCACCTGAGTCGGCAATACTCTTGACTCTTGAGGCAGGGCTTACTGCACCCTGAGATCGTCCCTTGTAATGAATAGTTTGACAGCTCAAATACCGGAGCTCCAAACCCAATCTAGAAGCCGAGAGACCAAGCTCCTATACCGGTGTTTCATCCATATCATCGGGACGAAACGCAATTGCCGAATCGGTAGAGAATCTGAAACAGACGATTAATAACCAGTCGGGAAAAGGGCAAGTGTACCCCGGATAACATGGCACGGTCACATCCAGAGTTACTATGAGGCATTCATTGTCGTATCTTCATTTTCTCTTTATAAATACCAGTACTTTTCTACTTGAGATCATTTCCTTCCAACAATAACCACGCTCTTCACTCCTGCTTTTCTCCCAAGGCTTCTGCTCATTCATCATGTTGCGCCCCGTGGCATTCCTAGCATTGAGTGCTGTTGCTCAAGCACACACGGTTGCTTGGGTCAAAGGCATGTACTGCCTGGGAGGTCCCGACCTTTCGACGGACAACGCAAACACAAACACAGCTGTGGCCCCCCTGTACAATCTCAAGAAGGAGGACTGGTGGTTCCAACACGAACGCGGCTGTGATGCAGCACCTCCAGCGGCTGGCGACATCCTGGAACTCCCAGCTGGCGGAAAGTTCACAGTGGAACTTGCGCACAACCGCGCGCAGACCACGCTTTCATACGATAGAAAGTATACCTCTGAATGGCCGGACGGGAAAGAACACCCGGAAAACTGGGCCGGTCCTGGAAACCCTCCCGACTGTATCCAGGACGACGGAGCAATGCATACCAACAACCAATCCATGGCTGCTGGCACTGCGTTTGCCATCAGCTATCAGTCTGACCTCTCTGCGGTAACCATGGAGAACCTGGCTGTGTTCACAGTTTTGGAGCAGTAGGTTAGGTCTATACACTACACTGCTTGAATTGCTAATCCGTGTATAGCACCCCGTGGAAGCGGATCGCTACCTATGAAGTGCCCAAGGATCTTCCTGCTTGCCCTCCTGGTGGATGCACCTGTGCTTGGCTCTGGGTAAGTATATGAAGATTCGGCCAGATTGTACTTACTGACACCAGTAGGTCCCCAACGGTTGTGGACAGCCCAACATGTAAGTTCCATAATCTAGTTCCAGTCCGTTCACTGACGAGAACCAGGTATATGGCTGGTTATAAATGCAACGTCACTGGGTCTACCTCTTCTAAAAAGGTGGCTCCCGCTCATGTCCCTGTTTATTGTGCGGATGATGCCAGCAAGTGCGTCAAGGGTGCTAAGCAAATGATTGGCTTCAACCGTAAGTCAGCCATTCCCTTGAACGGTACACCAAGAAGTAATGTGAAACCATAGAACAAACTGGGAACAACGTTCAAGTCCCTAATGGCAAGACACCGATGTATAACACGGCGTGGGGTTGGGAAAATGGTATGTCTTCCTCTACTGCCACCTTACATGACAACAATTTGCTAATAGTAAATCGCCCGCAAGGTGCCCAAAATGATATTTTCGTTTAAACAGGACATAGGTTCGAACAACTAGGATGATTCGAGCAGACGGGATGTCGATTCGAAAGAATACGGAAGGACAATGTGTACTGTACAATGCAGGGGATGAGTGCTACTGCTTTTCTTTACGAATGCTGGGCTTTTGTACAAAGCAGAGTTAGCTAAACTCCGAAAACTGACCACAATTTAATTGTGGATGGATATTGATTAAATCGAGTGAGTAAAGAGTACTCATATACTGAAGACTGTAGCTCGAGTTAGACCCATCTTGTCCATCACGTAGTTCAGGTTGCCTTCTGAGGTTCGAGTCTGGGGGTGATCAGGACCCAGTGTCCTCTGATTCCATGCATACGCCGATTGCATTAGAGGCACAGCATCAGAAAAGCGCCCCGCTCTGGCGTACGCCGCAGCGAGATTATTCATCACCGGCACCGTGTCCGAGCTATTCTCGCCAAAGGTCCGCCGCGAAAGCTCGAAAGTCTGCTCCAGTAGGGCCAATGCTTTGTCTTGGCCGCCTGCCGTGCCCAACCTCTGGTATGTTGTTGCCAGATTAGCGGAGCATCGAATAGTGGTTGCGTGAGCTTCCCCCAGATTGGCCTTGGAGAGTTCCAGGGCTTCGATCTGATAATGAAGGGCTCTATCGAGTTGGTCAAGCTCGCGGTAATCCACCCCAAGCAGATCCATTGTGATAATTGTTTCGAAATGCTCCTTGCCAAGAGTGCGGGTCTGCAGCTCAAGGGCTCTTTCATGCAGCCTGGCAGCGTCTTGCAGGCGTCCATGTCGGTGGAAACTGTTGGCCAAGTTGTTCATGCTGGTCTGTGTCTCTCGCGAGCTTTCCCCATTGATTTTCAGAAATGTCTCTAATGCTCGTTCTTCCAGATCCAGTGCCTCATCGGATCGGCCGAGACCTTTCAGGTCCAGCGCGAGGTTGTTCAGCGATTTGGCCGTCTCGATGTCATCAGGCCCTGAGACTTGGAGTCGAACGGCGTACACTTGCTGATCCCTCCGCTCTGCCTCCTGATATTCACCAAGGCGGCGCAGGGTGTACGCCAGATTGGTCGTCATAAATAGTGTCTCCTCGTGATCGAGACCTTGAGATTCCTCAAGCAGTTGGACAACATGGCTCTGTTTGTCTCGAGCTTCCTGCCACTTATTCTCGTCCATCAACCTGCTGCACTCTTCCATCAAGCTGTGTACTGGCGACTTTGCCTTCTTGCTCTTAAGCCCAAAAGCTCTCATTGTTGCGTATTCTGCGATCTGGTTCCCGCCTGCTCTGCGAACTTTCAGAGGTATTGTTGAAATGGGCACACATAGTCTACTTTTAAATGGACATCTGCGAGGATCAGGGGTATTTAAGAACACCTGCTCGACAGACAACGATTTCTCTAAGTTTGGTCAGTGCTCGTATCAACGCTTGGCAGGTTTCATTCCCACGCCATCACAGTCAAATGATAGGATTGTGCCTCGTATTCTTAGTCTCTTGGCAAAAGCCCTCCATTCCTTCGTCAAAGATGTGGATCCTAGACGTATTCTCGGCATGTTAAGGGCAGTCCACGGACCAGGCAGCTCTTAAATAGGTGAATTTGAGCCCGGTGGCTGCCTAAGCTTATTACTGAGTGGAGCCTTACTGCCCTGCGCATTGAGAATTCTGGACCCAAACCTGTCATAATGAGAGCCACTACTTTCAAGTGACTTGGGTAGTAAGATCTATTCATAATATTTCTTTAAGGAGCAAGGGGACACCCCAGGAAAACAAGCTAAGAAACCAAAATACTCAAAGAGTGTTGTAAATATATAAACCCCAACCGTCTGCACCATGTCTGCTATATTCCATAGACTCGCAAACCACTCCAAGGTACAAATAGTCCAGAGATATATAGTTTCGCAGTGTATACCCTCAACCATGACTATGGCTGCAGCACCAGGTCTGTCCCGACACACCTGTTGCACACAAACAACTGGGTTGGATCCACCCGTTTCTTGATAGAGAGCAATCTCTCATACTTGTTTCCCCAGAAGACTCTTTGCCATTGGGGTTCGTACCTAGAGATTCATGTGAGATGAATTTCCTTGCAATGTTTAAAAGACGGGGGTAGAAAAGAGGTAAGGACTACTCACGGACTGGCTTCATTCACATATGTCCCTCCATCTGGGCCAACGATTTCGGTAAAGCGCTTGCTGAACTGTACCATCTTGTGTCGCTTCTCTCCCTTCTCGCAGGCGGTTGCATTATCCAGCCAATCTACCGAGATGCTCATAAGCGCGTGGCTGTGTTTCCAGATCTCATGAACGGCAGTGTTGTCGCGTTCCTTGTTGTCGACTTTGCCAACTGAAAGAGTAACGGATGAGCATGATGAAAGCAACTACTAGAAATAGAATCTCCTTACTGAAATTGAATCCCGCCGCTTGACCATTGTCGACAATGAAGTCTGCCAAATCGTCCGCTTTTTCCCGGATTATGTCTGCTGTCAACAGTCGTGACGTGTCCTGATTGTTGGTCCCGATATTGGGGTCTCGCAGAAAGGTCTTCAAATATCCATCCCAGGTGGAGGAATAGGCTCCAACCGCTCCCTTGACACCGGGAAGCTGTGTTAAATTAGAGAAGGAAGCGAAAGTCTGGTCGAAGGACTCTATGGTGCCGTTGGGTTGAAGAAAGACCGCTTGGAAGCCCTGCGTAAACAAGCCATATCCGGTATACCCTGCGTCTGTGACAGCTGGGAGGAGCTTCAGGGATTCGGAAATGAGCCGCGTCGAGCTTGCGTTGTCGGTTGTGTTCAGTTGAACGAATCCAATGGTGAGATTTTGTGGGACAGGATGAGTTTTGTAAGTCACCGACGTAACAACCTGGGTAGAGCACGAGTCAGCGCCAGCTAAATATATCGATCACCTTGGTTATTATCATAGATTCACATACACCCCGGACACTTCCACCGCCGCCGCGAACAGCCCAGAAGTACCAGGATCCGAATAGGCATTGATCACTCGGTGTCGTCCATCCGCCGAAACAATGCTCATTTCCAAAAGATCTATCCTCCATTAGTCATTCCTTCACGGTAAAATGAGCCTCTGTCACTGACTATCAGCAGCGAGGCCATAGTAATGTGCAAATGGCGAATGGCCTCCTCCAAGCAAATATCCTCCTGCCGCCCCGACGGTGCGCGCTGATCCTCCAACTATCAACACTCCCTGTCTTGCTGCAGCTTGGTATACGTCTACACGCTCTCCGTCAGTATCCCACTCTTGTATCAGAATCAGTGCGTGCAATCATTTCACTTACCGAACCAATGCTCTCCAGCCTGCAATGTTGCAGCAGGTATACCATTGACCGTCGGCGGTGCCCCCTGTGGGACAAACGACTGGTGCCAGTCGATGCCCTTCAGATTGTGAGCCCAGATTGCAAGAGCTCCTTTACCGCTTGATCGACCGAGGCTGTGGTAACTTTGTTAGCCATGCGTCACATGAATAATCAAGGCTGTATGCTTCACTGGTCATGTCCTGTGTTCTTGACTACAAGAAACAGATCCCTCTCGCTGGCAAATTTCACCGTCTTTTGGATATCTTCCACACTTTCCGCCCGGAACAGCGTAGTACGGCACTAATTAGAGCATCACATCATTAGCGATCTGGAATAATAGAAAGTGCCTGTGCTCTCCAAGTATTACCTATCCCTTGATCGCATGGAGCGCCAACGGGTGTATCAATAAAGCACTGCCCGGTATTTCCCATCTCCCATACTGTCGCGGAATACGCTCCTGTTTGGTTCGTTCGCCAGACGCTATCTAGCCAACTCTCCTTTGCTATGTTGCATTGGTTGGCGTTATACCTCTCGGTGTGGCACACGGCAGCAGATGGAAAGGAGCGAATCAGTCGCCCACCAACAGTGGTGTTAAAGTCACTCCACGCCTGATCATCTGGCCAGCACCTGTCACCATAGGTACATCTACGCCGAGGATGGGCTTGTGCATTCACTGAGCCGGTGAGGACTGCCACGGCCACGAGAGTGGTTCTAGCGTGGAGGATCATGGGTGCTCAACTGTTTGGGTGATAATTTAGAAAACTTGAAGGGGTATATGATTGAAAATGATAAGAAGTTGTTGTGTTGTTATTGATGATTAGGACAGTATAACCCAGGATCTTACAAGATATTTATATTCTAATGGAAGGGTGCTGCAAAATGGGCGAGTACGAGAGTTGCCAAATTAGGCAATAATTGGGTGATACGGTAGAACAGCCGAAATGCGAGTATGCGAATACGACCACCGGAGCAAGCCAGTTTGCCCATAATCCTTGGCTGCTCCACACTCTGTCGATCCACATGTCAGGTATGAAGCCTGTGATGGTAACGTCAGTTCCACTGTTGAATGTTGAAAGCACCGAGGGTGATCCCCCGGAGCAGGCAGATAGATTTCACAGAGGTGGAAATATGATAGTAAGAATGAATGAGTCTACGTCACGTGCAGGCACATGACTGTCTAGTGTCTACCTGTCCCCTATTATTAGGCTTTTTCCCTTGGCTGCAATTTACGCTGATCCAAGCTGTATATCCAAGGAAATGAGCCACCACATATCAGTTCTAGTATAGTCATATTATGATATGCCTGATCTTCCAACACTAGTCTTCATACCTGGCTCCTGGCATAAACCCACATGCTATGACAAGGTGATCAAAATCCTTCATGAGCAGCATGGATTAAAATGTGTCTCAATTACCCTCCACTCAACGACGGGAAACCCAGCTGCGACCTTCAAAGATGATATTGATGCTGCCCGTGAAGCTATATTCAGGGAGACAACCCAGGGGCGCAATGTGGTTGTCCTTGCGCACTCGTATGGCGGCATGGTTGGCAATAGCGCTATCAAGGGTTTCACACGGCCACAAGACGCCACCGCCCCAACAACGGGGTACGTTATCGGCCTCGTCCTCGTAGCCTCTGGCTTTACCCTGACAGGACTGTCCTTTATGGATCCGTTCTTCGGTTGTCCACCTCCTTCCTGGCGGGTCAATAGCGAGACCGGTTATGCCGAGCTTGTCACTCCTCCACGTGAGCTTTTTTATCACGACTTGCCAGCGGAAGAGGCTGAGTTCTGGGTTTCTCAGCTCACGCCCCAGAGTCTCAAAGCATTGTTCGAGGGTGGTGAGCATGCATACGCTAGTTGGAAGGATGTGCCTGTCTGGTATATTGGCACTGTCGAGGATCGGGGTTTGCCGGTGTTGGTGCAACGGATGCAGGTGGGTATGGCAAGGTAAATGGGTGGTAGTGTCGAGCATAGGGAGCTGCAGACCAGTCATTCACCGTTTTTGAGCCAGCCAGATGTGACGGCAGGAATTATACTCGAGGCTGTCGAGGCGTTTACAGGGAAGCAAGCAGGAAATGAATCTACACTGAGTCGACGTGGCGATGCGATATCCGTGCCGATGGCCAAGCTTTGGCAGCCTCTCACATGGTTCAGATTTGGACTACCGCTGGCCTTTGGCCATGCAGTAGGAAGGTGTGTCCTCCTTTATAATTGGGGGAGGAAGTTATGGAGGTCTGGGTTCAGGTAATGTGTTCTTTAATATCAGCTCGACAGAAGTTGGCAAGATGGATATGTCCTTTGCAATCCTCTGTCCCAGACAGGTTCGCGCTTCTGTTCGCCCTCACACGATAGAGATTCTAGCTATCATGGACCACCATACAGCATACGTCTGCTGACAATGTAGTTAGTCTTGAATGTCTATAAAACCTAAATAATATGTTCAAATCTCCAATCCGGCATTTTGCCCGGTTTCTGTCCCTGGGGTAGGCAGGATGCTAAGGGAAAAAGGAGGAATTTGACTCCCCAAATCACGCCTTGTTTTGTATACGATCGTATCGCCAGACTGCCATCATGGGCACTAGCAGAAACGCTGCTCCCACAGTCATCCCTGCTCCACTGAAGATCTGCAGTCCGAGCAAGCCATTGTCTCCCCCGTGACCCTCAAGCACACCCGCGATCGGCGCTCCAATTAACACACCGAGACTGGTTGCAAACCACTGCATGCCCATGCGCGTCCCAATCACTGAAAGAGTGGGCGAGACTACCGGGTGGGCGATAACCAGCGGATTCGCGGAGATGAGCACGCCAGAGAAGATACCAAAGAGCACGCAGAAGACGACAAACGAGGCGACGGAGTGGATGCCAATCCAGCCAAAAAGGAGCACCGCCGAGGCAATCACGCTGGCGAGTAGGATGTGACTGGCGCCGAGTCGATAGGTCAGCAGGGAAGACCCAATGCGGCCGACGGCAGAGCCGGCGTTGAGGATGGAGACCATGTAGAAACTGAGTTCGGTGGAAGTGCCGAGGGCGGTAGAAGCAAAGGCAGGGACGTAGAAGAGGGGAATGAAGTAGGCCATAAACATGAGAAAGTTGGCAATCCCGTAAGCGTTGAAACTCTATTCCTTCATGGCGTGCCAGTGGATCAGCTGCCGGGGAGGACCGCGTCGGGTCTTGGTGGTGACCATCAACAGCGGGACTGCGATGCAAGAGCAGGCCAGCTGAATAAAGCCCAAGGTCCGTACAGTCCAGGAAAACCCGATACGTGGTTGAAGGCGGATGAAGATGATAGGAAAGACGACTCCGCCTTGGGTAGTTCAATCAGCTCACGGTTCAGCTGAGGGATCAATCAAACATACCCACGCTCGCGCCTGAGGTGACCAGGCCAACTGCAATGCCGCGTCGCGTTGTGAAGCGCGTTGAGACCAACGACAAGGCAGGGACGTAGATCAAGCCACTACCCAGGCCACAACAGAGACCTTGGGAGAGGAATACTTGGTAGTACTGAGTCGCCAGACTCAACATCATGAGCCCGAAAGTGGTCAGGAAACAGCCGGCGATCATCAGATGGTGAAGGTATCCCCGGTCGAAAAGGGGACCAGCGACGACACCGGTGGAGATAAGGAAAAAGGCATTGACGGTACCCACCCTGGCGATGCTGGAGGGAGAGTGTGAGTGCAGCAGATCGGATTGATAGTAGCTCTGGAAGGCACCGAAAGCGGTGGAAAATCCCCAGGTGGTGAGAAAGAGATGAAACGAGGCAAACACGCCTGACCAGGCCGTCAATCCACCATTGGGGGCATCTGGGGCTGGTATTGGGGTTTCCTCGGACTGAGGCTACTCGGGCTGCTTCGTCTCCATGGTGAGTAGGTGTGGCAATAAAATAATGAAGAGAATAAAATGGGAAACCGAAGATAAGACGGGCAGTCAAATCAGCATTAGGGCAGAACACGAGCTGATAACGTAATTCCTGGGTGAGCCGGCCACCCTCATCAAATTTCAACGCGTTTGAATCCTGAAGCTATCCAAATTAACCAAAATGCCATCAAAACCGCGTCAAACCCCTGGAAAATTGGTGGAGCAAGAGGGAAGGATTTAACTAGTAATATCTACTTTAAAAAAGAATGAAATTTTAAGTATTCACCACACTACAGAGATATTTAATGTGCCTAAATCCACCCTCTAAGATTAACTGAATAGATGCTAATATTAAATTAAATAACATAGCTATAATCACCAACTATCTCCTACATAAGAATAATTATTAGTAGAATAGATACTATCTAGGGATCTGTATGGAGTCCCCCCTAGGCTATCTTATATATAAGAGATAGCTAATATCCTTCTCTAGGTAGATAATCCCTCTGGATTTAAACCTATTAGTTGTAGTGGGCAGGCCCACTGGGTGCTTGTGCTTACCAAGCCCTCACGAACTGCCTTAGGTACTAACAAACTCTCATCTAACCAGGATAGTAGTAGTCATGTGACCTTACTTATTATTTATATACCCCTTTTTATATTCAGCTATTGTGGCCCTAGTTAGAAACTCTTTAGTAATTTCTTACTATCTAAATCTAGGTTATAGGTTTATATAGCCTCTAGCCTATAATATTAGAAATTACTCCTTATAGATAGTTAGATGAACTAGTAAGAGATAGCTAAACTAGCTAAACCAGCCAGATGAATAGATGAACTAGTGAGATAGCTAGATAGAATTAGTAAGAGATAGCTAAATCAGCTGAACTAGCTAGATGAATAGATGAACTAGTAAGACAGCTAGATAGAACTAGGGTGGTTATTTCCACGGGTTGGGCTGGGTTCTCCTATCTTTAGAACCCAACCCGGCGGGTTTGGGTTCTAGATTTCTAGGGCCCAACCCAGCCCAAAAGCCCAGCGGGTTCTAGGTAGTCAACCCGCTGGGTTCTATTCTGCCTAAAATCACCTTACCGCCTACCTTATATAGCTAGTATGTATTTAATTTTTCAATACCATACTAGGCATCTAATATATATATATATATAATTATATATAGATATAGTATATTAGCCTAAATCTAACCTAGGTTAGATGTAATCAAATTACTAGGTATTTTTGGGTTCTAGAGCCTAGAACCCAAAACCCACTATGGGTTCTAGAAATTAGAACCCAACCCAGCCCAAAGCGGGTTTGGGTCGGGTTGGGTTTGGGTTCTAGGGTTGGGTTTAACCAGTCTAGATAGAACTAGTAAGAGATAGCTGAATTAGCTAAAATAGCTAGAATAGCTAAGACAGACAGTATAGATAGTATAAGTTATAATAATATATTATTATAGATGTTAATATCTCTAGAGGGACCTAATAAAGAATACCTATAGTAATAGAATACTATATAAAAAGATTCTATAGCCTAAATAGCCTAGTAGTTATAGGAGATTATAGATTAAATGACCTAAATTAAGATACAATAAGCTACTACTACGCCCTAGATAGATACTACTTTTATAGTAGTAATACCCACCCCTTAAGTAATACCTATAGCACCTAGAGTTGCATAACCGAACTGCAAAAATTGAACCTGAACCTCACTGAACCTGGAGTGGTTTGGGTTCAGTGCCTAGCCTAGGGAACTACACTAGTTTTAATTTCTCTTAGCACTGAATCAAATCCATTAAGGGAAACCATTAGTTATAGTTTTTATAGGTTTAACCTAATAGTTTAAGTAACCCACACTGTTTTACCTAGAAATTATTAAACTCTAGATATTTTTAAATGATATTAATATCACTAGATAGCCTAGATTAAGGGCTATCTAATGGTATAAATATTAATTCAACATACCTAGTGGTTGCTGAGATATAAGGGAATAATCATTTATATTATAGGTTAGTATAAAAGTGGTGTAGATATGTATATATATATAACTAATAGTTAATAATTATGATAGTTTAAAATAATTTTTTAATCACCACCTATTTAACACCCTGAATATTGAATTAATATTTTAGATATAGATTAGTATGATAATAATTATGATATATTTTATATAAAAATATTAATTTTTAATAGGGGTGGTAGATAATATAATAGATAGTATGGCATTAAATAATTTTAAAATTTAAAAACCATTAAATTTCACTAAGGGGTAGTGGTTTAACCAACTCAAAATCAAACTAAATCTAACCATATTTAGTTATGATTAGCCTAGCTATACCTAGCTAGGCCTAGTAGCAGGTTTTTACAGTAAATCTATAACTAAATTACATTAGGTTTAATTTGGTTATAAGTTCTAAAATTTCAACCTAAAACTGCAGTGGTTTGGTGCTACCTAAGGTTGAACTTACCTGAACTCACACCAAATGCAACTCTAATAGCACCTACCCCTGCTGCCACCCCTATAGATAAACTAATAAGAAGGCCTAAACTAATTCTACTAGACCCTAACTAATATAATAGTATTAATAAGGCTATATATAATATTTTCTACTCTAATCTACTATAGAAGCTAGAAGTTAATTACCTTATCTTTAGTAGTTATTATAACTATATATAGTATATCTTTACTAGACTTAAGGACTAAGCTACTACTATAATAAGCCCCTAGATAGATTAGTATGCTTAGAACTATACTATAATAGGGGCTAACTTAGATTATATAGTTAACTAGCTTAACTTTATATTCTAGGATAAAAATTATATAGAGAAAGCTATAGAAGAACTATACTATCTATAATAAGATAATTACCTCTTTTATAATATACTAATAGACTTTAACTAGCTACTAATAGAAGCTAGGGGTTATAGCTAGACTAATAATATAAAGTAAACCTTTATTAATAGTACTTTAAATATAGAGATATAGATATAACTCTTTAGTATAGCTAAAGAAGCTAGATTTAAAGGATATTATTAATAACTATAGATAATTATAAATTAAATTAAAGCCTTCTATGCACAGGGAATAGCTTAAGCTAAATAGTATAGAAGAAATATATAGATTATAAACTATAGCTATATTATTTATATTCCTATATCTCTAGTAAACCTAGCCTTAAATATATTAAGCCCTAGTAATACTATAGACTAGGAATCATCCTTTATAACCTTAGCTTATTAGTATTAATATATAAAATAGGTTAATAAAGCTAAATAATCTTATTATTATATAAAAGGAAGATACCTATAAGATAGAGCTTTAGACTATATAATTAAAAGCTATTAATATCTAGGTACTATCCCTCCCTAGAATAGAGAAGTAAAGCTACTATATACTTCATAAACTATTAGACTAATACTTAAAGATAATAAAATAAATTTATAGATTCTAGAGTTTATAGATAAAGCTAGTAAGTTAGAAAACTAGCTACTTCTATAAAAAGACTCTTATAGGGGCTAGTTAAATAGTTAATATAACTAAAAAGCTAGTATTACCTATATCCTAAGGAAGAAGATATACTTACTAATTATAGATAATTATAAAAGGTTATTAGATTTAATATTCCTAAATCTATTATATCTAATATAATTAATAAGAAATATAACTATAGAATCCTATCTAATATAAGATATATATCTTATATAATTATAGCTAAATATTTTATATAGAAGCTATAATTAGAGTAGATTAAGATTAAGCCTATTAATCTAGTGTGAGACCCCGCGCCAGGCTGCGTAAGTTCCCAACTGAGGCAAAAGACCTACTATGTTTGACCCCTATGGTCAAACATGCCTGGCTTCTATATATATATCTTTAAGGCTTACTAGATGCCTCTAACAGTTATCTCCCCCTTTCTAGGGCACGTCCCGGGCCCTCAGCTGAGCCAAGGTTCTAAGGGTAGCTGGTGATGCAGGGCCTCTAGCCCCAGGCTCTTTAGCCTAGGCAAAATCTATGCTTTTTTCATATATATATGTGGGCCCCTAACTAATCACAATAGGGAATCAGCCCTAGGGGATGGTTATGAGCAAGGGTTAGTCTATTAGGTGACCCCCCTAGGGATTAAACCCCCGACACTGCCTCACCTATAGGGGTTAAACATACTGTAAGACCCTGTGCTAGGCTGCATGAGTTCCTAACTGAGGCAAAAGACCTACTATATTTGACCCCTATGGTCAAACATGCCTGGCTTCCATATATATATCTTTAAGGCTTACTGGATGCCTCTAACATCTAGAGAACTATACTAGTATAATAAGAAATATTATTTTAATAATTACCTACTTTATCCTAGATATTAGTAGTAACTACTAATATTTAGTCTATATATATATAGTACTAAAGTTAGGTAATAGAACTAATTTAATCCTAGAGATCTTATAGATAAGGGATTAAGAAGCTATAGTAGAAGCTAAGAAACCCTAATTAAGATTTATAGATAGAATTATAGTTAAGAGTATAGAGAATAAGCTAAAGCTAGTAGTAAAGTAAATTAGTATCTAAGGATTTATAGTTTATAATTAGTAGTAAAGAAAGAATAGAATAATATAAATCTTTACTACTAGTATTAAGGATATTAAAAAGGCCCTATAGATTAAGAAGTATACTAATCTAGCTATAAAGCTACTAATATACTACTATAAGTTTCTAGATATATTTAATTAGAAGAAGACTAATAAGCTACTACTATACTATCTAGGGGTGGACTACTAGATTAAGCTAATTAAGGATAAAAAAGAGAAGATAATAGAGCCCTATAAAGGCTACTATATAGTATATCTTATAGAGAACTACTAATACTATAAAAGATATTAATAGAGCTATATAAGAAGGATTTTATCTATATAAGTAGCTTAGCTACTATAGTATCTATACTATTTATCTATAAGCTAGAAGGTAGACTATAATTCTATATTAATTATTATATACTAAATATAATTATTAAGAAGGACTATTACCTACTTCTATTAATTAATAAGACTTTAGAGTATATCTCTAAGATAAAATAGTTTACTATTAGATATAATTACTATATTCTATAAGATCTATATTATCCCTAGAGATAAGTAGTTAATAATATTCTA